TGGCGTCTGTCCCGACGCTGCCTCGGGGATCGTGCCCAAATCCAGGCACCCGCACGCTGCTGGCATGACCCGACCTCATGGTGCCCACGCAGGGTCTCCCACCCACTCTGGGGCACAGGCTCCACAAAGTGGGGTGCACCCCGAGTGGGGTAGGCAGAAGAAGGGGGTTCTTGTCACTGCGGGGGTGTCCCCTCCTTCCCAGGGTGTGCTGTCCCCTGTGCCCTGGCTGTGACGGGCTCCTGGGTCACAGTCCTGAAAGGTCCGTGCTGCTTCCTCACAGCCCCGCACCCAGCTGGGGACCAAGGGACCAGGGGCTGCCTCCACTCCACAGGAGGTGCAGGGGGAAGGAGGAAGGGCGCTGGCTGCCCTTGGAGCACGGTCCTGCCTCGGTCAGTGGGCAGATGGGGACACCAAGGGGGCCGGGAGACAGGCGTGGGGGTCCCAGTGCTGCCGTGCATTGACCCTGGGCAGCCCCAGCGCAGCCCCACTCCTGCCTGGGTGGCCCCGGGCAGGCACTGAGCAGGGAACGGGGTGTCCTAGGGGTGAGCTGATGCTGGGACCCAGAGCCTGTGCAGGCAGGGCTGGGCAGCCCGACTGCCTAATCCTGCCTGCCCAGACCTGCTGCCCACCCAGCCGCGCTGTGCGAGCTCTGTTCATGGCAGCTTGATTCTCCCCTGCCCACATCCCTGGCAGCTGCCCCACTGCACCTTCCCCATCCTCGGCTCCCCATCCTCCCTATGCCGGGCACCGCAGAGGAGCCCCCCAACACTCCTGGGGTGCTGAGAGCACGGGTGGGATCCAGGACCACCAGGCTAAGGGTGCCTGGGGACCCCAGCAGCACCCCTGCTCCCGCCAACAAAAGCACCGAGCTCTGGGGCGGCTTCTGCACCTATTTATTTAGGAGGGTGAGGTGTGATTGTGGCACAGGGCAGTGGGTCTGCAGGGCCCAGCCAGGGAGGATGGGAAGGAGCAGCAGGGAGGGGGGAGCAGAGCTGGGTTTCCACCAGGTCTGGAGGACGCACAGCTGTGGTGCTGGCCCCTTCAGCTGCAGGGAGGCAGGACAGATGGATGGGCCATTAGAGCAGGGGAAAGCAGTGTGAGGCAGAGACCCGGGGCAGGTGGGGGGCTCCCCAGGGGGCTGTGAGTCCATGCGCAGCCCAGGCCCTAAAAAAACCCCGGGGGTCTGTAATTCCATGCGCAGCCCAGGCCCTGCTGGGAGCCCTGGCTTCCGCCGCCACTGTCACCTGATGGCCTCGGTACACTGATCTGTTGAAAAGCCAAGAGAGGGGTGAGCATGCCCTGGGCAGCGCCCTGAGCCCCTGCGCAGCGTCCCCACGTGGAGGGGCTGTGCGTGCCACCCCCCCACCCTCCTGGCACTCACCTGACTTGGGCAGGATGACCAGCATGTCCTTGGTCAGGCCCACAGTGGGGATGAGCTCTTTGAACTTCTGCAGGAGCTGGGGGCTCGTGTCCTGCTCCCTCACTGCAGCCAGACACCCAAAGCAGGGGCTGGTGAGCCCAGCAGCGAGCCCCACGCCAGGGGTCTGGCTCCCATGGGGCAGAGACGGGACCCCAGGGAAGGGCAAAGGTGAAGCCATGGAGGTGCAGGGTGGACACCAAGCACTCTACGGCTGCCCTCGGCTGGTGGCAAAGGGTCACAGGCCCCTTGGGATGAGCAACCTACCTGCCTGGGGTGGTACAGGGCGGCTGGCAGGGCTGGGGGTCTGCAGCTGGACTAGCACGCTGCAGGGGGCTTCGGGTCAAACCACAATCAACCGGGGATATTTTTGGTGCAAGGTTTCATTCAACCCAAAATTAATTCCCTCAGTGCCAGCACATTGGGTGCTGACATTGGTGGCCCTGGGCAGCAGTGGGGAGCCCAGCCCCTGCCCCTCGACAGTGCCCGTGTCCCTCCCTGGGAAGCCATGGGTGCCCGTTCCCACTCTGACACTCACTGAGGAGCTGCAGCCCGGTGTTGGTCTCCTGCCCCTTCTGCTGGAGCTCATGCACAATGGCATAGTGGCTGTAGTCTGTCTCCATCACACGCAGGTCCTTCTTCTCTTGTGCTGCTAAAGGACCCAGATGGTGCCTGGTTGGGCAACATGGCATAGCCCAGGCACCTCTGCGGCCCCCGACGGGGCTCAGGGCTCAGGGCCTGAGCCCCAAATTTGCCCAAGGGGGGTATGAGAAGGGAACCCTGGTGCGATCCGGCAGAGCCGTGTGCCCACCTGCAGCATGACATCTCACCAAGCGATGGAGGCATAGGGGCCAAACCCCCAGGCACAGGGGACTGGTGAAGCCCACCCTCCATTTCAAGGCGCTCATGGCTCTGATCCCCCCTGCCCACACGTACCCACGTAGTGCCCTGCCTGCCCACTTTGCTGGAAGAGCAGGTCAAACTTTTGGCATCCATCTGGCCTGGAAAGGGAAAATGGAAACGCCAAATGTGGCTGCATGCCATGCGGGAAGGCAGCAGGGTGGTGGGCACCAGGGGGAGCCCAGCCTGCCCAGGGACACACCAGGGCACAGGCAGGACTGGGCGCCACGGGGCAGCGGGTCTGTGGGAGGATACTCCTCACCCAGCCGCCTTGGTGGGGAGGGGAGTCCCAGGGCCCAAGAGGGACATGGCGAGCTGGGTGGGCACTCACAGCGGCCAGACAAGCTTCATAGACAGCTCCCCCGCTGGCGTGAAGCTGATGGTGGCAATGGACGACTTCATCCCGTCCTTCATCTTCAGAAACATGGAGCAGTTGGAAGCTGTGGCTGCAACATGCCACATCCCTGCAAACTGTAGCAGAACATCACCAGTGGGGTTTGGGAAAGCCGTGGGGACCTTCAGCCTACCACAGGAATCTGCCACCCACTGCATGCAGGACACTCTGCCCTGCCCCGTGCCAGGAGGGTGGGCGCAGCGTCTGGGGAAGCGCCACACGCTGGGGGACATGGTGGCAGCTGGGCCACTGCTGAGTCTGCCCACAGTGGGCAGGAGGTGGCCAGGGCTAACCCAATTTTGCACAGGCACCCACATCCTCCTGGCAGCTGCCCTGGTGCCTGGGGGTGCAGCGTGGGCACCCCACCCCAGGCAGCCCCTCCAGCCAAGCAGGACCAGCTGGGGGGCACCCTGTGCCAGTACCTTCTCAGCGGTGAAGTCTGGCTGCACAGGGACCTCAGCCCCTGCCCGCAGCAGGCAGAGCAGGGCCAGCACCAGGCAGGGCAGCACCACCGTCATCCTGGGTCCGGAGGCTGGACACGGGCAGGAG